TGCTCGGGGGAGTGGGCAGAGGAGGCGCCTTGCTCGGAGCAGGCGCTGCTGAAACAGAGCCCGAGAGCTGCCCGGGACCGCGTGCGCCCCGGTGCTGCAGCGGGGGCGGGTCCCGCGGGCGCCCACTCCCTGATGGCGGAGGAGACGCTGCCGCTCCACCTTGCACGCCCTCTAGGAAGCGACCCTGCAAGAACTTCAAGCCGGGAGTCGTAGGGGCGGAAAGGTGAGTGCCCGGGCTGCCTCCCTTCATTGCTGGGGTCCTGCAGAACCTGGCATCGCGTCCTCTGTGTCTCGTACTCGGGTGTGACCCATCCACCGAGCCATTTCCCCCCAAATGCATCCGCGGAGACAACACATTCAGGACACCGGCTCTAGGAAGCGACCCTGCAAGAACTTCAAGCCGGGAGTCGTAGGGGCGGAAAGGTGAGTGCCCGGGCTGCCTCCCTTCATTGCTGGGGTCCTGCAGAACCTGGCATCGCGTCCTCTGTGTCTCGTACTCGGGTGTGACCCATCCACCGAGCCATTTCCCCCCAAATGCATCCGCGGAGACAACACATTCAGGACACCGGGAGGAACCAGGCACTTACAATCTAGCCGTGTGGATGTACCTCTTTGTATATGCTTATAGATATAGCTCAGAGCACCGGGACTACTGCTATTGTCTTTGAAAACCTGGTCGGTCAGAGGGGGCAGGGGAGAAAGGCTGTTAGAAAAGGGCAACGTGGCTTTTCCTGTCTGCAGTTATAGGGCACCCTAGTGAGCAAAAGTCAGCTCCCCATGGCTAGTTCCCCTGTGTCCTCCTTCTGTCGCAGAGTGGCTTAATTAGCACTCAATTTACAGTTAATGCAAAGTTCAGTGTGGAGGGAATACAGACTGTGTGTGATTTGTATGTGTGTACACAAGGGCAAATCTTGAAAAAGTATTTAGAAGTATGTGCTTCGTATGCATTTGTTTTAACTATGCAGTTGTTTTCATATCCAGATAAAACGCATATGCACACTGTGGGTATGTCCACACCACAGGGGAGATGGAAGCTGCCAGTGTTGATCTTCCAGGGTTTGAATGAGCAGGTCTAGTGAGGAACCTGAGAGGGTGCTCCGGTTGATGCCAGTAGTTCTGTCCATGAGGAGTAAGGGATGTCGAAGGAAGAGTGTGCTCCCTTTGACATCCTGCAGTGTGGACAGAGCCGAAAGTCAAGTTAAGGTACTTCGACTTCAGCTACGCAATTAATGTAGCTGAAGTTGCATATCTTAATTCAACCTTATCCCATAATGTAGACATACCCTGTGGAACCACACTCATTCAAGAAAAAATATTGTGTGGACACAGCAGTTTCCTTAACAATAAATGTCTGACATTAAGGTGCTTGAATTTGAGGGTGTAAATTAGAATATGCATAATTCTTTGGCTCTGGATTTGTAATCCACTATATTGGCATGGACATATTTCAGTGAGTGAAACTTCCTAGGAGATTGCTATATCTGAGCATATTAAGTATGAAATGTTGCATGCCTCGGAGATGAAAACTGTGTTGCTGATATCAGATTATCAGTTTTTTTGCCATGAAAAGAGAAATATGGTTTATGTGGGATGCAAGCAAGCAAACAAAACCTGTCAGTTGTGTTGGATAGGAAGGAAGGCACTGATAATGTGAGGAGGAGGATAGGGTGGGGACAGTGAGAAATGCGCTCCCAGGAAGTTTCACTCGCTGCAATATGTCTGTGTCAACAAAGTGGTTTGCTAATCAAGAGCCGAAAGTAGGAGTGTGCATAGTCTAATTTAAACCTTCAAGGTCAAGAGGCTAAATGTCACAGATTTACCTGCCCAGGGGTTTGTATGAAGGATGTCTGAATGTTTGTGGGAACAGGGGATAGTTGGCTGTGTGCATGAACAGTCACGCATGAACCCCTGCTACATTAGAAGCTGAAGGCTGTGGTATTGATGGAAAGGTAATTTTCCCATGAGGGCTTAGATTTTGACATAGCTGTTCAGTTAACAGTCAGCTCCTCCTAGACTATTGAAGTGCATGAAATTGGAAAGAACAGCTGTTCTATAGTGGCAATCAGAACTGAAAATGTAAATATCAGTGCGACAGTTATTTGGGGGTTCTTAATTCCTCTTAGTGATCCTTCTAGTACCTACACTGGCACAAGTTCCCTGTGACTTGCACGGCCATTTAATTTACAGGTAAACTTTGAAGTATTGGTTTGAAACAAAAAAATCTTTTTTGGATTCCTGGCCATCCAAGGGACTGTCTTGCTTTCCCAGCACGTGGTATTTTGGCAGCAGAAATCATGTGAGGCAGATTACAGACTGGTGAAGGTCTGGGTCACCCTTGCCTGCAACTTTGGGTGCCTTTCAATGCCTTGCTGCAGTAATACCGCCCTGCACTGTTCACAAACAGCCCCCACTTTGCAGGTCATACCCTGCATGTCTGTGTGTAAGTGCAGCCTGTCTGCCATGCCTGGTCACACTCTGGCTCTCACCATCCTTGGTTCTACTGCAGGGTGACCCCAACACATCCCTCTGCCCTGAATGTCCCTCCAGATCCTGTACTGGCCAGTCTTCTCCAAGACAGCGCAAAGTACTTTAAGTCCAGTATTCTTTAAACAGAGTAAGACTCCTACTTAAATCTCAAATAGTTATTCAGACACCTCAATGTAAACACACTGGATTAGAAAAAAGCAGTAAAACAAATTGGTTAACTACAAAGAGAAATTTTGAGCACAAATAATGAGGCATAAAGCCAGAAATGTTTACCAGAAAAATAAAGGGAAGATTTATACTATTACCTACTTAAACAGTATCAGAGTCAAGCAGTTTCTCGCCACATGATTTCAAGTATTTTAGGGTATATCTACACAGCAGCGTTATTTCAGAATAACTTATATTATTCTGAAATAACAAAGAGCACATCTGCACAGCAAGCCATTATTCCAAAATAATGGCAAGCTGGAAGACGTCTTACTCTGACCCCTGTAGCCCTCATTTCACAAGGAGTAAGGCAAGTCAAAGGAAGCGTTCCTGTTGTGTAGATCTCACCAAAAGTCAATTTAAGGTATTTTGACTTCAGCTATGCAATTGACGTAGCTGAAGTTGTGTAGCTTAATTTGACTTTTCCCCAGCTGTGTAGATGTGCCCTTAGTGACCAAACCCTGTAGGTCAGGACCTGTATGCACGGTGAATATTTCTTTGGTCACTTCAGATGCAGTGAATGGGATGGGAAAGGAGAGAGGGCAAGGAGTGTCTTTGGGGATTTGTCCCTCCTTTTTATAGTTTCAGACCCCCTCTTGACAAACATTTCTAAAAGGGGACTAGGGCATGGAAGAAACATAGAATCATAGAATACTAGGACTGGAAGGGACCTCGAGAGGTCATCGAGTCCAGTCCCCTGCCCTCATGGCAGGACCAAATACTGTCTAGACCATCCCTGATAGACATTTATCTAACCTACTCTTAAATATCTCCAGAGATGAGGATTCCACAACCTCCCTGAGCAATTTATTCCAGTGTTTGACCACCCTGACAGTTAGGAACTTTTTCCTAATGTCCAACCTAAACCTCCCTTGCTGCAGTTTAAGCCCATTGCTTCTTGTCTATCCTCAGAGGCCAAGATGAACAAGTTTTCTCCCTCCTCCTTATGATACCCTTTTAGATACCTGAAAACTGCTATCATGTCCCCCCTCAGTCTTTTCTTTTCTAAACTAAACAAACCCAATTCCTTCAGCCTTCCTTCATAGGTCATGTTCTCTAGACCTTTAATCATTCTCGTTGCTCTTCTCTGGACCCTTTCCAATTTTTCCACATCTTTCTTGAAATGCGGTGCCCAGAACTGGACACAATACTCCAATTGAGGCCTAACCAACGCAGAGTAGAGTGGAAGAATGACTTCTCGTGTCTTGCTCACAACACACCTGTTAATACATCCCAGAATCATGTTTGCTTTCTTTGCAACAGCATCACACTGCTGACTCATATTTAACTTGTGGTCCACTATAACCCCTAGATCCCTTTCCAGACCTTCGCTTCCCATTTTGTATGTGTGAAACTGATTGTTCCTTCCTAAGTGGAGCACTTTGCATTTGTCTTTATTAAACTTCATCCTATTTATCTCAGACCATTTCTCCAATTTGTCCAGGTCATTTTGAATTATGACCCTATCCTCCAGATTAGTCGCAACCCCTCCCAGCTTGGTATCATCTGCAAACTTAATAAGCATACTTTCTATACCAATATCTAAATTGTTGATGAAGATATTGAACAAAGCTGGTCCCAAAACAGACCCTTGCGGAACCCCACTTGTTATGCCTTTCCAGCAGGATTGTGAACCATTAATAACTACTCTCTGAGTACAGTTATCCAGCCAGTTATGCACCCACCTTATAGTAGAAACAGTAGTTCACTGTTTCTTACCTGATTAAGCTTTTTCTGTTTCCCCTCCTGCTTGATTATTTCTGTTTACTGGTTATATGTAAATTATATGCAGACAGGGTTTGCTAACTCCAGTTTGTTCAGGGCTGTGTTGAATAACATCATACCATAAAATCTTATAATGTCACATAGAATGTTGCTTCATTTTTTAATCAGGACAATATTGACCAGTAAATTATGAGTTTTCAGATGATACCTTATGAGACATGCCTTGTACAAAAATAATTACAATAGTTTGGAGGTTATGAATCCAGAGTTATATGCTGTCACACCTAGAGAGTCTCCTGTAACTCGGATGGCTGGATTTGGCTAGCTGAATTTATGGAAGGGAATTCTAGCTGCCGTGACATATGTATGTTCTTAGCCTGTGACTGCAATGTCAGCTATGACTCAGCACCAGAGCAGTACATTTCGATTGATCTGCATCAGATTGGTTTGCACTAACACTTTGACGTGGAAACGGAGCAATTCAGCATTATCAAACTGAAGCAGTTTGAGCTCCAAATCAAAATTGGTGGGAATTTCCATTCTGTGCTAACTTGCAAACGTTCAGTTTTCCATTATGATTCAGAACAAAAATAAGTGTCAAAAATGTCAGAATTTCCTCCTAAATAGCTCTAGCCATAAATGCACATTATGTCACCATTCTGATCACTACTGGGAACCAAACTAGGGAACCTCTCCAAGTAAGAGCATAAACCTCTAGAGCTTGATTTCAAGGACCAAATTCCTTGACTAGGAGCTGTAGCAGATCCATTTTGTCAGTGGCTTGTGCATAGAAGGGGGCACATGCTGAACAATGGGCTATCCAGCCTACTCAAAAAACTCTTCTCTAGTTCCTTGACAATGACTAAGGTGATAATGAGAAAATATTTTACTTGCCTGTCAAATAAGATGACTCGCTGCAGGTGAGTGAGATCTAGCAAGGCTGCTCTAATTCTAAATTTCCATGGCTTTTCCCCCCAGCCTAATGATGTGCTTTTCATTCACAGGAGGGCTTTTAATTTTCATGATGCATGTCAGCCTGTGTGGTACATATCTAACCTTATCGTTGGGATGAGAAGCACCCTCCTGTGAATCGGTAACAATGACACAGCGATGGCAGATTGCTCATGAGGGTGCGTGGGACTTTTTAAGTGAATGAGGCATAATTATAGTTTTCATCTCTTCTTTCTTGGACAGGGAATTAATTTGCTTTGAAGCCTGTAGGTTTTCTTTTTTCTTTTCTGCTCCAGACCTGCACCCTGGGGGAAGATGCTGATGGACAAAAACGTATCGTCGTTTCCCAACATCTCCTCCACGGCCCTGTCCTTGGTAAGAAGAGAGGGCAACTGGACAGGGGCAGGAACTGGTCTCCGGGAGGTGGCTGTTGGCCTGATACTCACCTTTATAGACTTGATCACTCTGTTTGGGAACACGGTGGTTTTTATCTGCCCCGTGGTGGAGAAGAGGCTGCGCACCGCAACTTACATGTTTATTATGTCCTTAGCCATGGCAGATCTCCTTGTTGCTTGTCTGGTCATGCCGTTTAGGTAAGCACCGCTTGTAAGGTAAGACCTGCTTGTAATGCATGTATTTGATGGTACAGTATTTGGTAGCACTTAACGTAGTGGCTACTATGTATAAGGCAAGGGTAATGGTCTAATAGAGGGGGGATAGAAATCAGGATGCCTGGGGCCAACCAATCCCAGCTCTGCTACAAACTCACCATGGGTCTCTCACTTCACCTCCCTGTATCTCAGACTCTCTATAATGTACAGTCAGGGTATGTCGACGCTGCAGCCTGGCGTTGGCTCTGCTTCAGCTAGCACACTAAAATCAGCAGTGTAGCTGTGGGTAGCACTAGCAGCTGTATACATACCAGTGGGGTCCGAACAGATTTGCACTCAGCCAGCTCCCATCTGAAGTGTAGATGTACTCTTGTTCCCTCAGGGACCAGTTTGGTGTTCCTTGCGAGCATACGGAAACCACTGGAGGCAATGGGAGTTTTGAGTGTTCAAGGAAAACGTGATCAGGCTCTCAGCTAAGTCCTGTCTTGAATTTAATAATGATAATATTTCCATTAAGATAAAGGTATTGGATCAGATTGTTTCCTTATTTACACTCATGTAAATTGGGAGCAAGTCAACTGAATTCCACTCAGTGGAGTCTGAAACCAGTGGGAGAAAAAAAACCTGAGCCTTTATATTCAGAGAAACCCATATAACGCCTGGATTTTTAACCTGACATACTTTAAAAATTATATCATCTTGTCCTATTTTTATCCCAGTCATTCCCTCTTTCATATTACTTCTACCCCAATCCAAACAGCACTAAAGGAGTGGAGTGGCGTTCTTGAAAAATAAATGCTTTACCTCCATTGGCAGACTAGAACATTTTCTGTTATTTTCAGCTATCTGAATCCGCTTGTGATTTATAAACTGAAAACTGAAAAAAAACCTGTTGTGTTGAAAACTTTTGAGAAGACAGAAGTGACCAGGATTATGTTTCAGGATTGCTTTCCTTTATTATTGCATCCTCACTACACTTTCACTGGTGAAAACAAATTTATGGCTAAAATTATTAACATGAGGATGAAAATACTAAGGGGGGATTAGACCAATTATTTAGACCTTTTAGTCTGGATTCACCACTACACTCTGCCTGTATTGCTCTCTCGTGATGCAAAATGGCCATAAAACCCAATTAAACCATCTGGTTAAACAATTCACATCTGCTTCCAGACATCAGAGCATTGAAAAGCTGCCAAAGTCTACAAGTGAATCTGGCCCTTCTCCGTAAGTTTAAACCCTGATGTATAAGAAGTAAGGCAACTATGTTAAAATAATGTGGATCTGAATGGATTTCCAAGCAAAGAGTGAGCCACAGTTTGAGTGGAAGCCTATGAAATATTGGCTGAGGAAAACAAAAACAGTGTGAGAAGAGAGTTAAAGTTACCCTTTCCAACAGTATTAATAGACTGTCATAGTAACTCAGAAAAATCTCAGTTCAGGTTCCAACTACAGCTGTTAGCAACATTTTCTGTAATCTGTTTCATCCAAGCTTCAAAGGTACCACAAAACTTTCATCAGGAAGGTTTTGGGGCACAGGGGGATGAGTGAGTGTGATTCTCCCGGGAGGTTAGCATACTTGGGAGTGGAAGGTGGGAGACCAAGGGTCAAGTTCTTGCTCTAACTAATTTAGAGTGCTCTGGGATGAAAAATTGGGCTCTAAATCTGGCAGAGGGGGGACGTGAACTCAGGGCTTCCTTGTTCTAGGCCATTACCAGGATCAACATGCTTCTGTTTTCATGCAGATGTTCAACAATTTGGGTTTCCTTCTAAGGCAGGACATAATCAAATTTCAAAACCTTGACTATTGCCACAAAATGCAATGGTCATCCTCTGGTCAGCTCTTCTTACAGACTCATCACTGCCACCACCCTGGGATCTCTTTCCGCCTTCAGGTCAGCTTTGTTGGCCATATGAAGCCCAACAGCACCAGCTTGGGGAGTATGATGGAATAACCCACCACCCTCCTTCCGGCCCATGGGAAGTCATTGGGAATATTGGGGATGACTTCACTGGGAACAGGATTAGGGACTCTATATTATTTACACCGGGATTCTCATTATGTGCTGGGGGAGTTGGGGGGAACAGAGCACACTTTTGGTATACAGGCCCTGTACGTGACATGGCCCCCGGACATGTCAGCAGGTGGTTCCTCACAGAATGAAGCTGGCCAGAGGTTCATGGCTGGTGCATGGTTCAGGATCAAGCCAAAATGGCACAAGAACAGGATCGCAGATGGTAGAGAGAGCGGGATCACGATTTGCTGCCTGACTCTGAGAGGCAGGGTGGGTAGAGTCAGGCAGTCGCTGGCAGTTACATACTCGCAGCAGTGTAAGGTGGTTGCCAGGCTGGGCCTACACACCCGCTGGCTTCCTCTGCGGTGGGGACTGGCTGTGATCAGAGCTCGGCTGTTGCGAGTCCCTCCTACTGGGAACACAAATTAATCGTGGAATCCTTGCGCCAGAGCTGAGCTGGGGCTTTCCTGATGGTGACCATGCCAAAGGGAGCCAGGGTAATGCCAGCCGGCTGGAGCAGGGAAAGCGGTATCTCAGAGCCATTACCGCGTCTCCAACGGGAGCGTGCTTCTAGCAGCCTCACTGCCCACCACTGCTTCCTCAGGCTCTCTGTTACCACCAGGTCCCTGTTTCAGCCCAGAGAAGAGGATCTACTGTCCCTCCGGCTCCCCTCAGTTTAGTCTCCCTCTCTGAAAACTCCACCCTGGAAGTGTAGCGCACTGTCTCCCCTGCCTTCTTCCCAGTGCTGAGGGCTAGGGTTGCCAAATACCTTCACAAAAATCCCAAACATGGTGGGGAAAAAAATTGGTTGAGCAAAAAAACAAAGCAAAACAAAACAAACAAAAAACGGAGAAAAAAAAAAGAGGTCGCTGGGGGAAAATGTCCCCGCCGGCCTTCCATCCAAGAAAAACAGAAAATACCGGACATTTTACATGTCCTGTATTTTCTGGTTTTTTACCAGACAGAAGACACAATTACCGGACTGTCCGGGTGAAAACCGGACACCTGGCAACCCTACCAGTGAGGGCTTCTCTGTCATGTCTCCTTTGGAGTTTGCAGTAGGGACAAGTCACCTGGGCCTTCTCTGGTGGTGGGTTAACAACCCCCAGAACCTCCCCAGATACCGCAGGCTTCCTGCTCCCACAACAGACAAATCCTAGCCTGCCCTCTCCATCAGATGCTCTTCTTGCCCCATGCCTGGCCCATAAGCATATTGCAGTCCTCTGGCCTTCCCCCATTCTTCCTGAAGCTGGGACGGTCCCCTCCTGGACCTTCATCCTTAAGGGCAACAAGAGCTCTCCTTGGCAAGACCTTCCTACTTACCCTACTACCCACATGCCCTCTCTGCCTCCCACCTGTGACACAGCCTCCCTGAGTTGAGGGAGCAGACGTGCTAAAGTGAGCATGGCCATGCAGTAGCCAGGATGGGGGGAGGAGAGAGCATTTCCCAAGTAAGCTCACACTCTTCCCCCTCAAATTAGGAGGAAGTACCCCCCACAGCAGCGGGAGGGGCTTTCTTCCCCACAAAGGAGGAGCGAAGAATTCAGCGTTTTGAGTCAGCAACAGAACTGAACGCAGAGGGGGTGGAGGATTCTCACCTCTCAGGGCATGGAGGTAACCAAAAAAGCTGAGGAAACGGTCTGTGTTTACGTCTTGTACGGAAGAGGAGTAATGCTTGTAGGCTGAGAATACAAAGGGGCGGGGGGATTGTTGGTAGATGGCATTTCAAGTGGGGAAGTATTTCCATGACAACCAATGGTTTAATTATACAGCTAGAGAGAAAATAATCCACTCAGGTGAGAGACACCACAACGATCAGGAAAACGAGAAGGGGAACTTGCCAGGCAGGGTGCCATTTGGAGCTCTACAGGGGTCTTGTAGGCTGAGAATACAAAGGGGCGGGGGGATTGTTGGTAGATGGCATTTCAAGTGGGGAAGTATTTCCATGACAACCAATGGTTTAATTATACAGCTAGAGAGAAAATAATCCACTCAGGTGAGAGACACCACAACGATCAGGAAAACGAGAAGGGGAACTTGCCAGGCAGGGTGCCATTTGGAGCTCTACAGGGGTCCAGCTATCAGAGTTTTATTTCTGGGCGGGGGGGGGGGGCGGGGGGG